ATGTATGTGTCACTGTGATTTGTGTAAGCTATTAAAGTATGTTGTTATTTGTAACTAATGTTTTTATTAACTACCTGATAGGTGGATGCACACAACATAGTGCCAGTATGGCTGGCATCTGATAAACAGGAATACGCTGCTAGGACTATTCGTAATAAAATACACAAGTTTCTGCCGGAATTTCTAACAGAGTTTCCTCCTGTTACTGTCCATACTCATAACTCTAAGTTAACAATGAAAGTAAGGACCTTATGATATCAGGAGGTGCATGAGTATTGTTTTACTAGTCAACTAATTGGATTAAAGCAAAGGAGAGCCTTGAAATTGATATGACAGTCAGTGAAGTCTCATGGGCTACTCCTGGGACTAATGCTGGGCTAAAGGTATTGGATGAATTCTGTACCAAGAGACTCAAGTTCTTTGCTGCGCAACGCAATGACCCCAATAAAGATTCTCTCAGTAACTTGTCTCCTTGGTTTCATTTTGGTATGTTAATATTACGTATTTTCCTACTATTTAAAATTATTTATTTTGTAAAGGTCAAATTGGGGTACAGAGAACTATCCTAAAAGTCAAGAGTTATAGTTCGAAGCACTCTGAGAGTGTATCAGCATATATTGAAGAGGCAGTCGTGAGGAGAGAGCTAGCTGATAACTTTTGCTATTATAATCCTCACTATGACTCCATCAGTGGGGCAGCACAATGGGCTCAAGATACACTAAAGTGAGCTAATATTATGTAATAGCATTATTTCACATTATTTCATCATTATTGTGATTTTTTTTCTTTTTCTCCAGAGCTCACAAGAAGGATAAGAGAGAGTACATTTATACTCAGGAACAATTTGAGTCATCATCGACGCATGATCCTCTTTGGAATGCTGCTCAAGTGAGATTTATGGTAGTGCATTCACTGCATTGATTATACATTGTGTACATGTATGTATGCTGCATTCACAATAATTATAATATTTATTATTTATAATATTGTATAGCTACAAATGGTACAGGAAGGAAAGATGCATGGTTTTCTGAGGATGTATTGGGCTAAGAAGATACTGGAATGGACATCAAGTCCTGAGGAAGGATTAAGGATTGCTATCTATCTCAATGATAAGTATGAGATTGATGGTAGAGACCCTAATGGATATGTTGGTAAGAAAATAATAATGTGTACTTTGGAGCAACTTTTAAATTCATAAAAAATCCAGTTTTGATTAGAATCAGCTCAAACTTTCTACGCAACATAAAAACATGTATGCGTATCAGAAAAATTATACAATTGAGGAATTTTCTATTTTTCATTTTTGGCAAAATTTTGCCAAAATCTCTGTACTATAGTACAGGGACTTTAAGCCGATTTTGGAGCAACTTTAAAAATTTGTAAAAAATTTAATTTTAATTGGAATCAGCTCAAACTTTCTATGCAACATAAAAACATCTATATGTACCAGAAAAAATTATACAAATGAGGAATTTTCTACTTTTCATTTTTGGCAAAATTTGGCCAAAATCCCTGTACTATAGTACAGGGACTTTGGGCTGATTTTGGAGCTACTTTTAAAATTCGTAAAAAAAATTAATTTTGATTGAAATCAGCTCAAACTTTCTACACAGCATAAGAACATGTATGTGCATCAGAAAAAATTATAATAAAAAGGAATTTTCTACTTTTCATTTTTGGCAAAATTTGGTCAAAATCCCTGTACTGTAGTACAGAGACTTTGGGCTGATTTTGGAGCAACTTTAAAAATTTGTTAAAAATCCAATTTTGATTGGAATCAGCTCAAATTTTCTACACAACATGAGTACATTTCTATGCATCAGAAAAAAGTTTTAATGGAGAATTCTCTCTTAGCTATTTGTCATGAAAAATACACTGTCATTCATGTCTGACTTACCCCATATAGATTATTATAATTACACAGCACTATTTTGTGTCTCTATTGATTGATAGGTTGTATGTGGTCGATATGTGGCATTCATGATCAAGGCTGGGCTGAGAGATCAGTGTTTGGTAAGATACGGTACATGAACTATCAGGGATGCAAGAGGAAGTTTGATGTTGGACAGTTTGAAAGGAAATACAACAAGAAAAGGAAATTAGGTGAGCAATAGTATCTAATGTAAAGGCTTCCTTTGTTGTTTTTTGCAATATTTATTAGCATAGAAGGGGCAGGCCCAGACTATTATAGTATAAATGAATGTATTGTCATTTATTTTTTGATCATCTAAAATGTACATAATAAAATTTTAGATAAGGAAGAGCTACCTGCTGCATTCAAGAAGTTTAAAAAGCAAAAGTAACTCTCAAGACATTTTATTTTATTATCAAAACTCATCTTATACACACTTTATTTTATATATTCATTATAATAATCAAAATTCTAAAACGACAATGATGACATAACTATTAAGTTGTTATTACAATTTAATACAAAACTATAGGCAGCTGATGTCTAATACCTACAATTAGTCACACATTAATTCATTAATAGAATAGAAATTAAAACTTTTACATTTTGATTGCTGCCAATTCATCTGCATCAGGGAAATCTTCAGGATCTTCATCCATGACGTATAAGGCACTCTTATATGCAACCAGAAGTGTAATTTCGTTACTCCTAAATCCAGGAACCCTACCTTTAAGCTCATCCAGAAACCTTATTTTGTACTGAAGCTCCATTCCGTACACTTTTGCTTTTAGTTTCTTACGAACAACTGCCTTCTCCCACTTTAGCACATCTCGTATTTCTTTGGTAGTCTTGATTGTCCTGAGGATACTGGTAGCAGTTTTTATGAGCTCATCTTTGCAAGGATTATCAGGAAACAGTTCCTCTATGTTGGAAGCAATAACGCTTCTGTCTATGTCACCAGCATATCGTACAAGAACTGCAGCTTCATTTGATCTACACTGGGACCTATATCCTTCTGTGATTACTGGTTTCAGTCCAGATATCTCTTGCTGAATTTTTTCCAACTGCTTGTCAGCTTGCAATAATTTCTTGTATTCCTTGCTTTGCTCACTCTCCACTTCTACCTTTACTTCACGATCCCTGTATACTTCACGGTCCTTGTACACTACTTCAGGTTTTGATGAACTTCCACCCATTATATCAGCCCAATTCTATAGATCTTTTGACTAATCTTTCTAGACTAGAATGACTCACATAAATTCTATTTATAATTTTACCACAAGATCATTCTAGAATTGTAGCATGTTGACTGTTCTATTCTGATAACAGTCTCATGATACTAATTCTGATAGTGGGAATATTGTATATATAAATGCTTCCTGTTTTTGGTCATGTTTTGTCTTGTGTATTGCTTTATGATTATACCACCTGTAATTCCTATTTTGAAGTACAATGTGTGTGTACTATAAAGGCGGATTTACAATATTACGCTAGTCCTGACGTTACGTTGACGCTGGAATAGAATCTGGTTCTATTCCAGCGGAAAGCATGCGTCAAAAGGTCAAATCGCCCACGTTTTTGATTAAAAATTGACGGTACGCTGGCCTAATGTCATATTGTAAATCCGCCTTAATTGATGCACATAGCTATTATTATTACCAGTATAATCTAGTTAACATAAAAAGGACTATTATCTCTCTTTTAATTCTCTATTGACTAACTAAATTTAGCATTAGTTTGCATGCTCATTGATACAATGTAGTGTACTATGAATAACGTTTCGTTATGTGTGTGGCCCCATTTTGTTAGTTTGTGTATTCCTCCCCTGAAAGTATGCTTCTCTCAGTTAGTCTCCTTATCTGCCTCTCTCTCTGCAATTGTCAAGTATTCCCACCTCCTCCTAAAACTGCTTCACTTGGGGTTGAAGTGGGTAGTA